TGTGCAGATTATATATATAAATGTTATATCATTTATTATAAACTTGTTATGACATATTTTATTTATATATATATATATATATAAATATTTTTCAGGCATTATTGTAATTCCTTATAGATTTGACACTTTATATATATTTATATATTTGATATTGCAATTTGAATTATATAATAATATTTTTACATTTTAAACACATATTTAGTACATTACATACAGTGTACATGCAGTACATAGAGATTATATGATAAATACATAACTAATATATATATATATATATACATAAAGTACAATATATACTACAATATATAGTACAGTAATAGAGTTGTTATTTATTAAATATGAAATAATATTTTTTTAAATAACTTATTTAAAAAAAATAAAATAAAATGTCTCTTAAAATTTTAATTTTATATATATATATTATTTTTTATAAAAATAATTTTCCATAACATACTTATATTATATATGCTGTATATACAGTATATTAGTTTATACTATGCTATTGAAAGCAATTAATTAATTTCTAAAAAACTTATTACTGTCGCTAAAGTATAATTAAAATTATAAAATTTTACGTAAATTATTAATTACATTAATTTTAAAAAACATATTGGTTTTTTATTTAAAAAAAATTAATTAATTAATTAAATTATTTAGAGCTTTAATTTTAGTAATCAGTATTTGTTGATTTCATTAATATCTAAATAATAAATTTAGTTTATTTTTTGTTGTTTGTTTGAAAACTAAAATTTTTGAAAAAAAAACAAGTTTATTATTTGATTTTAAATTAATTATTTATCTAATTGTTTACTCTATTAATAAATAAAAATAATGCAATTAAATAATTTACAACAATTTGTCGCAACTGTATTGTTAATTACTTCAATTACAATATTAGGTATATATATATATATATATAATATATATAAATATATTAAAATATTTTATCATTTATTTTATTTATCTATTATTTGTTGTTATATATCATTAGTCTAATTACTAATATATAGTATTATAAAAATAATGAAAAATTTTATGACATATATTAATTTAATGCCCAAAAAATTAATTAATTAAAAATTTTAATCTAGAAATCTACATGTAACAAAATTAATCTAAATAAACATTTTAAAAATAACTAAAACAAAATTTTAGCTATTTAAATAATTTATTTAATTAATAATTAATACATAATTTAATTAATTAGAAAATATGCAATAAAATGTGATTTACCCTAATTAAATGTTTTAAATAAAAACTAAAAATAAATAAATTATTTGTTTTCTAGTATTTTAAAATAATTTACCAATAATTCAATATTATTGATTGTTAATAATAATAATTATATTTACTTTAAATTACTACTACTAATACTAATACTACTACTACTACTAATAATAATAATAATAATAATACCGATAATTACTATTATAATATAAGTTTAAATTAAATATCAACTTCTAATACTACTGTACTATCTGTGTCTACAGTCTATTATTATTGTTATTATTATTATTATTACTACTACTACTACTACTACTACTACTATTACTACTATTACTACTATTACTACTATTATTACTACTACTACTACTACTACTTCTACTACTATTACTACTATTACTACTATTACTACTACTACTACTACTACTACTACTAATAATAATACCAACAATTACTACTACTACCACTACTACTACTATTACTACTACTACTACTACTACTACTACTATTACTACTACTACTACTACTACTACTACTACCACTACTATTACTACTACTACTACTACTACTACTACCACTACTACTACTACTACTACTAATAGACAATATAGTTAATTTTATCTATTAGTAATTTTTTAATAAAATTATTACAATTAATTTATTATTATCTATCAATCAATCATTCATATAAAAGCCCGGATCAGCTGCGATGACACATCCGGTGGTGACCAACAAAAACAGTCTGTCCAGCAAATGATGTCACTGTTTGGCGAATACTCGCAAAAGCTGTCACACGCTATCCAATTGATCAAAGAAAACAAAATCAGCGAATCGGGCGCCGAATTGGCCTCAGTTAAGGACACTTTCGGCAAACTGAACGGTTTGGTTAAGTCAAACAAAGAGTTGGCGAAATTGCCGATAGCTTCGCAACTGACGGAACTGTCGTCGATAACCCAAACGTTGGGCGGTCTAGGAGTGGGTGGCGATAGTAATCAGGCACTGGACGGTATGGTCGATAAGTTGCACAGTGTTTTCGGTATACTCGGTCAGGTCAAGGACAAGGTCGGCGGCGGTGTTACCGGCGGTGGCGATGGTTTGGGTAAAAAGTTGCCGCTTTAAGTAAAAGGATATCTAATCTAATTATTATTATTATTATTAATCTAATAATCAGTTTATTTCAAACAAATAGCAAACCAAACAAACAAAAAGTTTTTGATTTTATTTCTATTAGAAAAAAAAATCTAAATTTAAATAAAAATTAAATTTTTTTTAACAAACAAATTAAATTTGATTAATAAATAAAAAAAATTAATTGTTAATTTTCAAGTATTTTTTTAAATAGTAAATTTAAGTACAATAAAAATTTTAATTTTATATATTTAAATAAACAGATACAAAAATTTTTATATCAAATTATTATTATTATTATTATTATTATTACAACTATTACTAGTATAATAAATTAATATTTTTTTAAAATATATATATTTTTAATTTTATAAAATTAATTTTTTAAGAGGATTATTATAATTAATGGTTATTTATTTAATAATAATAATAATAATAATAAAATACATTTTATATATATATTATACATTAATATTTAATATGATGATAATAAGTTAATGTAATTTAATATTAAATTTTTTGTTTTTGATAAACTTTTTCGTACAAATTGTTTGAATATTAAACTATATATATATATATATATAATATTATATAAAGTTTAACTCTAATACAGTATAAATTTATATCAAATAGTATATACAAAAATATATTCAGTATATATATAGTATAGTATAGTTTATACAATATGTATATATATATTATATTTATATAAAACGTGTCATTTAATAAATTATTAATATTGTATTAAAATTATTTTCTACTCTATGTTTGAAAGTTAATTAAATTTATCTAATAGTTATCACTATATATATATATATATATATATATATATATATATATATATATATATATAATTTTTTATATACTATAAATATGGTAATACTGTATATACTAAATATAATCAAAATATAATTTAATATTAAAAATATTAATACAAATTAAGTAATTTTTTTTAAAAATGTAATCTAATGACAATAAGATGATATAAATTATTTTATTATTAATATTATTATTTTTTTTGGTAAAAATTATAATTTTAATTACTAGTAGACTAGTGATTGATTGGATTTATTATAAATATTATTATTATTATTATTAATTGAAATATATTTTTAGTTATCTTTTTTTTATAGTTGAGTTGACTTTGGATCGTATGTCCCGTTGACTCCCATATCATTGTTTTCGTCTAATTGATTGTCATTGTCTTTGTTTGTCCTAATAATATATAATATATATAATAATTAATTAATAAAAAAAATTATATTTATATATAATATATTTTTAAAAAACTGTTATATACTTCATATAAAGTTTAAAAAAAAAATTAATACAGTATATACAACATTAACATTAGCACAAAATAAATTTTTTAAGTGCATGAATAATGTATTATTAATATATTAAATAATAAAATTTTTTAGTAATCATTAAATATTTACAACTATTAAGTGGTTTTTTTTAATATATAGATAGAAATAAATAATTTATTAATTTTAGATTTTTTTTAAAACTACTGAATATTGTTATCTAATTTTTTTCAACAACAAAAAATTAACGGAAACTAAAGCTATTGTCTATAATTAAGATTTTTTTTAGTAATCAATTTGTTTTAATAATAATAATAGTTATATTGATTATAAATTTGTGGTAAATTTTAAACAACTATTTTATTAATTTAAAAAAATTAATATTATTATTGATATATATATAATAAAATAATGTCAAAATTTTTCATATAAATATATTATATCAAATAAATTATACATTATTATTATTATTATTATTATTATTATTAAATTTTATGTAAAAATTTTCTATAATATATATATATATATATATGATCGACAAAATTATCAAAATTGATGACAAATTTCAAATAATGTATTTAATGTCATAAATTATAAAACTATCGATTAAAATGCCAAAAAAGGGGATCTTATTTTGCATACATACATATAAACTCACATAAAATATATATATATATATATATATATATATCTATAATGAGTTGAATATTGATTTTTTTGAAAATGTAATACTACTGTATTATATCTGTTATATCATATATTATAAACTTTATATATAAATATATATATATATATATATATATATATATATATATATATATATATATATATATATATATATAGATTACGGCATTTATATTTAAATTATAATTTAATATTGAAACTAATTAACATTTTGAAGCGCTTAAATTTTTTTTTGGTGATTATATATATATATATATATATATATATATATATATATATAAAATTTATATATTTTTTATATTTCTCCGAAAAAAATAAACTAAACATTTATTATAATAATACTGTATTTAAATAACTAAAAAATAAAATACTTTATATTATATAAAAAAAATTTTTTAATATCTATTCACAATTCATTTAACTAATTCATATTTGTATTAAATATATTTATATATATATTTTTTTGTTTTTTATTAAAATTACTTAGTAGTGAATATATAAATATAGTTTTAGGGGTTAAATAAGTTTTTTTTGAATAATAAAAAATAAAATATTTAATCTAAATTAAAACAAAATATGCCTTTTAATAATAATAATAATTATTATTCAACAAAAAACAAAAAAATTAAATTACATTTTTTTGCCCCTAAACACAATTTTTTTAGTATATAATGTGCTAAAAACTTAACAAATCGTATATAAAAAAAGTTAGATAATTATAAATAAACAATATATATATATAATATCTATAAAATATTATATATATATATATATATATATATATATATATATAGAGAGAGAGAGAGAGAGAGAGAGAGAGAGATTTAACCAACAAATTTGAAACAAAAAATATATATTTTTTAATAAATAAATTACAATACAATTACTTTTTATTAAATTATATATTGACTGTTAATAATCATATATTATTAACTATTACTAACTTTTTGCTATCAAATTCATCTCTCATTTTGGGAGTCATATTCAGATAACCGCCCTCTTTCTCATCCAATACCAGTAATGCCATCGTCGATATAATTGTGGCTAAAATATTAATTAAATTAAAATAAATTAAAAATAATTAATAATAATAATAATAATAAAATTAATAATAATAATAATAATAATAAAATTAATAATAATAATAATAATAATAATAAAATTAATAATAATAATAATAAAATTAATAATAATAATAATAAAATTAATAATAATAATAATAATAATAATAATAATAATAATAATAATAATAATAATAATAATTAATAATATTAATATTAATAATAATAATTTAATTTAATTTAATTAAAAATTAATTATCTCTATGTATATATTTTATGCACAAAATAATAAATAGTTAAATTTAAAATTAAATAGTATATTATCTATTTAGCTATTTATCTATAAAATAATAATAATAAAATTAATAATAATAATAATAATATACCGCATAGCCAGGCCAGATAAAATATTTCCAACACTAGATAGCCCTTAGTGTCGACTATAGCACCGGCAGCCATACTGATCATACCGAGACCAAAATTTTGTATAGCCTGTGTCATACCGTAGGCCGTACCCAGTGTACGCTCCGGTACTACCAGCGATATCAGGGCCCATACAGTACAGGCTAGCATTGAATAGCCAATGCCCAGTACGATCATGGCTAGCCATGGCGTCAGGAAACTGAATGCCAGCAACAAATGGGCGGTCATCGATATCAGTATAGCCAACAATACGAAATATAGGGTACGACCCAAACGGCCCATTAGTATGCCCAGTATGGGCGATGCACCCATCGATATCAGATAGACCATACTATTGATTAGGTGGGCGTCGACTGAGTTTAATTGAAATTTTCGTGTAAAAAATGGTCTGAAAATTTGAAAAAAAATTATTGAATTATTAAAAAAAATTATTGACTTATTAAAAAAATTATTGAATTATTAAAAAAATTATTGAATTATAAAAAAAATTATTGAATTATAAAAAAAATTATTGAATTATTAAATAAAATTATTGAATTTATTTGAAACAAACAATTTGGGCAAAAATTTTTTTTTCTATTCAATATTCTGTATATTAATATACAATATAAATCAAAATTATAGGAATATTCTYTATATATATATATATATATATATATATATATATATATATGCACACAAAACAAAACACAAAAATCAATTTAATTTTTTTGTTTTATTTTGTTTTGTTTTTTTTATTTCAATTCAAAAATATCTATACCTAGCGTGTTATGAATATTTTTTTTAAAAATGATTATTGAAATTTTCATATATTTTTGTATTTGTTTGATAAATGTTTTTTTGGTTATTATAATAATAATAATAATACTAAAAAATTGAGGAAAAAAACTATTTTAAATAAAATAAATAATATATTCAATTGTTTTTGACAAAAAAATAAAAAATAAAAACCTATTATCATATATAAACTACTATCACATATAATAATATCAATATATATAACTTATTTGCAATTCACAACATGTATGTCAACAACAATAATAATTTTGATCCATAGATATTAAAAAACTTTTTGTTTGTTTATATATATATACTTTCAAAAACATATATAAATTTATATATTTCTAAATTTAATTATTTTTAATAATAAAAATCATTTTTTTGTAGATAATTACTTGAAATAGATATCAAAATTTATATATATATATATATATATACTTTCAAAAACATATATATATATACTTTCAAATATATATATATATACTTTCAAAAACATATATATATATATATATATATATATATTTATATATAATTTCTAAATTTAATTATTTTTAAATAATAAAAATCAATTTTTTTGGATAATTACTTGAAATAGATATCAAAAAAAACTTTATATATATATATATATCGATTGAAACAAGTATTCTTTGCGTTTCAAAAATAATGAAATTTTACTTTGTTTTTGTGAGATCTATGTAATGATTAAAATTTTATTTTTTTTGTAATTCAACAGTTACATTATTGAATTTTAACTATGTTATAAACATATAGTTATTAATATATAGCTTAAAGTCACATGACATCATTTTCACATATGCTCAAAAATACCTATATCATTGATTAAATAATGCAATAATGGAGGCCAAAAATCTTAGTAAGGCTTCTTATGAAAAACTAAATGTAAGCATTAATTTGACGAATAAAAAATGGTGGAAAGAAGTAGAGGTTAATGTAAAAGACAGAAAATAGTCTGAAAAACTACCTAATTTTAATACTAAAATTTTGAAGGATTTAGTGAAGTTATATCCAGACTTTTGATGATAAAAGATGAGAAAGATATTGGGTATTGATTTATGAACTATTATAAGATTTGGACTCAATTCGCTGAAGATATGTGCCATTAATTTAAGTACTAAATAATTTCACTTCTTAACTATAGGCCACTTAAGTGAAAATAAACCAAAATTTTTTATACAATTGAATTATAATAAATTTATAGGATTTATTAAAACCATTGATGAATCATTATATTCACCATATATTGCTTTGTCAGATTACTATTTATTTGAATAAATAAAAGACTTCTTTGATAGTGAAAAAATTAAAAATCTGGAAGGATTCAAAAAATCTTTTTCGGTTCAAAATCAGATGAAATGGTTTACCAAAAATAATCAAAATTTGACCAGTGATTAAAGAGATGTTATAGATTTAAATGACAATTTTACAATTTATTAAATTTCATTAACTTTTTCAATAAAATGAATTTAAACACTTTTATTTTACACGCAAAGAATACTTGTTTCCATTAATACTTTCAAAAACATATATATATATTTATATATATTTCTAAATTTAATTATTTTTAAATAATAAAAATCAATTTTTTTAAATTTTTTTTTTGATAATTACTTACACACCAAACGATACCAATGGAAAAACAGATACATAATAGAAGACAATAATAAAATTGATGAACCAGTAGTTCAAACGGAAAACTTTGATATCTTTTAGACTAATTTTATCGGATTTAACATCTTTGACCTTAAGCTGACGTTCGGCCCATTTGTCCCGTACGGCCAATACGATGGCCAGAACCAGATCATAGGCAGCGACTATCGATGCCAACATCCAGGCCATACCCAGACACTGATGACCAGAGTATGAATGACCCAAATAGTCGTATAAGGGTTTCATGACATTCATGTTGACTGTACTGCCAACACGGGCCAGACTCAGCTGTAGGCCGAAAACCATTTGCAGTTCACGACCGCCAAACCATTTGACGGCACGCATGTTGGCCGTAACGGCCAGATTTTCGCCGCCAATAGCAAATACTATACGGCCCAGACACATTAGCCAAAATGAGTTTAGGTAGGCGCCCAACCCTAGCAGGAATTGTCCGGCAAAAGTAAAACAAGCAAATATAATGGCACCCCAGTTGATACCCAGATACCTGTCCACTAGTATACCCCCGATTAAACTCAATATCATATTAGGCCAACTATACAGTGAATATAGTAGTGAATACTGGAAATTATTGATATTCATGTCCCGTAGGGTTTCCTCCTGTAGTGAACTGGGAGTATCGTAACTAAAGTAATTGCCTGTTAAATAATAATAATAATTTTTTAAAAAATTATATATATTATATATAGATATAATATCAGTAATTATTTTTGTTTGTTTGTTAATTGTTTGTTAGTGTTGTTAGTTATACACAAATTTATTTTAAATGATAAGTATAATAATAATGATATTATCATTTAAATACCTCATATATTAAATACACCTATAATACTGTATTACTACTAATATTAGGTAATATATTGTTATATAATATCGTTATATATATACCTTTAAGGTATTATTATTATTATACAGTACAGTATATATACTATAATCTAATTTTTACACTATTTGTTTGAATTAATTTAATTTAATTATATCTATTTATAAATTGAATTTGAATATAATATGCGTGAATTCACTTAATTAAATAATTTTAAGACAATATTTACACTCTTTTTAATTTTAATCCTCAAAAAATATATTTGTTTGTTTGTTTTATATAGTTTTGTAATCAATTTAAATACAAATATATATTTATTTGTTTTGTATACAGTATTTTGTTGACTAATAATTTTGTATGCAATAGTAGTAGTAGTAATAGTAGTAGTAATAGTCATATCTATTATATAATTAATTTAAGGAATTGTATTGTTATACAAATACTGTATTTATATATATAAGTGATATTTATTTTGTAAATTATATGATATTATTTAAAAATTTTTAATTAATGGATCTAAAAATTTTTAAATAATATCTAAAGTTTTATATCTATTACTATTTACAGTGTAATTAAATTTAATTAAGCATTGGGTGTTTATTTATGTTAATGTTTGTGCAATTATTTTTAATCAATTTAGCTGTCTATACATGTATTTTTTTGCATTGAGTTTATAGTATGTAATTCAATATACTTAATAATAATAATAATAATAATTTAGTTAAATAAAACATTTAGCAACAAAAAAAGTTTTATTATTATTTGATGGCAAATGTGGCGATAATTTATTCATTACATTAATAGAATATATTTAGCAAAAAAAAATAAAAATAAAATAAAACTTTTTTTTTATTATTTATTTTTCTAAGTGTTAAAAGTATTTACTATACTGTATATACATATACAGTAGTAGTTTATAATAAAATATTTATGCATATAATTTAACAATATATATATATGATAAACACATATATATTATATATACACTGTATTATTAACTTAACTATTTTTTTGTTGTTATCAAAATCAATATACAGTACTCAAAATTGTTTGACATTTATCTCTACTACTACTACTACTACTACAGTACTGTACTGTATATATGCAATGAAATTAGATTTTCAACTGAAAATCTGTTAACAAAAAAAAACTAAAATACTTGAAATCAATGTGTGATTTAACTTATTTTATTTTCTCTCTCTCTCTCTCTCTCTCTCTCTCTCTCCCTAAGCATTAAGTTTTTGAAATTTGTATTTAAGTGGAGACAATAAAACATAGAAAAAAATGATCAAACAATTTGAAAAACTTTTTTTTTGTTGTAGATATCATATGAGAGCTCACATTCCTATTGTATTATTTTTTTTACATACAGACAAGTAATTGACATTAACTCCTTGTAATCAATACACACACACACATACATACATACATACATACATACATACATACATACATACATACATACATACATACATACATACATACATACATACATACATACATACATACATACATACATACATACATACATACATACATACATACATACATACATACATACACATACATATACACACACATATACACACATACATACACACACATATACACACATACATACACACACATACATACATACATACATACATAAATACATACATACAAACACACACACAATACATACACATATATACATACACACACACRTACATACATTGTATTTTATTATCTATGATAATAATGACATTTACTATACATAGTTACTGCTAAAAAGTTAATTTCAAACAATATTTTTAAAGTATCCGATAAAATAAAATCTATATATATATATATAATATATATATTATAATTTTAAATAACAATGTAACATTATATAGTAACWATATATATATATATATATATAATTACAAAWTCAAATTTATTAAATTAAATTATMTGTACTCTCTGTGGGGTTATTGAAAAAAATAAATTTGTATAAATTTAATTAAGCATATGTTACAACAAAATTTTAAAAACAAAATGCTATTATAATTATTATTATTATCGTATTAAATACAACAAACAAACAAAAATTTTAGACAACCAAAAAAAATAAAATTGTTTCAAAACTATAAAATAAGTGGGGGAAAAAGTTATTTAATTAAATTTTCAACAACAAAATTTAAAAAAAAAATCAAATTTAGTGTATAAAAATTAATATAACAATAACCTACTAATACTACTACTACTTGAATATATGATAACAAATTTTTTTGACAACATAGACATATTCACATAATAATAATAATAAATAACTTAATATATATATATATATATATATATATACAGTATATATACCATAAAATTTTTTTCCATATATATATATATATATATAATACAAAATTGAATAAAATACTGTATATAAAAATTTGTTTGATTTTTAAATATATATATATATATATATATATATATATATATATATATATATATATATATATATATATATATATATATATACTTAGTAGGCCATACCTACATAATAATAATAATAATAATAATAAATAACTTAATATATATRTATACAGTATAGATATATATACCATAAAATATTTACTGTATATATATAAAAATTTGTTTGATTTTTAAATAGATATATAAACTCAGAATCTATATCTCATAATATATATGTATTACTGTATATACTGTATATATACATGTACTTTGTAGGCCATACCTACATAATATCATAATAATACTACTACTAATATAAGTTACATACCGACACCAAGCGAGCACATGAATACCATAAATATATATCTGTGTACACTGTGTGCCGGATGCCAACACTTGACATTAGAGTAGTCCTCCTCCTCCACCTCATCCTCATCCCTATCCCTATCACCATCAGCTTTGACTGTATCCCTGTCCTCCTCATTGACAGCAACATCACTAATGTCTTCATCAGCAATCACTTCCKGAACCCTTTTTCTAGTTTCATCTGATTTATCCATATTGTTGTTATAATATATATATCAATAAGTTATATCACAAACAATAAAAATTTATATAAAAAAACAAAAGTTTTTCCACACAAAACAAATCACTAATTACTTAATTACAGGTATTAATAGATATTTTGTTGTTGTTGTTGTTATAAATTATATATAAATAACATTTTAATACTATTATAATATATTAAATACATGTTATTATTATTATTATTATAGTATTGATGAGGACATGAAATACATAATATACTATTTAAATACAGTACTACTGAAATATTTTTATTTTATTATTTTTTTTTTAAAAAAAAAGTAAATCAGTGTATATTGAGTATTATATAAATATTATATATATATGTGATATTTGAAATTTTTTATTTTATTGACAATATATATATATATATATATATTAAAAATATTATATACATAACAATATAATAATGATTATGATTTCATACAATAAGTTTATAAATCAGATTATAATTGCAATTAATTAATTAATTAATTAAAGTCTACTATTTATCTCATTATTATTGTTCAAGTGTTGACTGATTACTATAAAAATTTATATATATATATCTCCTATAATTATTATGATAAACTGTTACATATATAAAATACATTATTACCTATTTGTCAATAGCACAGGTAGGTATAGTAGTAGTAGTAGTAGTAGTAGTAGTAGTAGTAGTAGTAGTAGTAGTAGTAGTAGTAGTAGTAGTAGTAGTAGTAGTAGTAGTAGTTTGTTAGTCAGTATAAAATTATCTATATATACCCAATTAGTTATTGGGCATATTATTATTTATAAAAATAATAATAATCAATATATTGTCATATTATTATATTTTGTGTAAATATTTTTAGTTTTTATTAAATTATAATTGTTAWTMTTWATWTAATWTTTTATCTTTAACCAACCACAATTATTATATTTATTATTATTATTGTTATATTATATATTATAAATTATACTGTATATATATARTATTAAATGCCAGTTATATTTAAATCATACCCTCCCTATAAACGGTATGTCATATATTTTTATTAATATTAGATAACAAAAAAWAAATAATAATTTATTTTTTAATGTTTAAATACCATTTATATAATTAGCGGGGGGTTGACTTTTAGTATACCTAGTTCAAAGTTTAATTATAATAAAAAAAAATTTTAAAAAATTAACTTTATATAAGATTTTATAATAATTATAATAATAAATATTAATAGTTTTTATTTTTTTAAACCTACTAATAGCCATTAGAGCCATAATTATTATAAATTATAATTAAAATATTTAAATGTTTTGTTGTTGTAAAAGTTAATATACAATTAAAATACATATAAATAAATAATTGATTAGAATTTTTAATTAAATTATAATATAATAATAACATAAATAATATATTATTATTTTTAAAAATAACTTTATATAATATATAATATGATTTAATAGTTAATAATAATTATATTAATTAATATTAATAGTTATTTATGTTTAACCTACTAATAGCCATTATAGCCATAATTATTATAAATTATAATTAAAATATTTAATGTTTTTTAGTTGTAAAAGTTAATATACAATTTAAATACATATAAATAAATAATTGCTTAGAATTTTTAAATTAAATTATAATTAATAATATAATTAATATATTATTTAAAAAATAACTTTATATAAGTTGTATGATTTAATAGTTAATAATAATTATATTAATTAATATTAATAGTTATTTTTTAAGACCTACTAATAGCCATAATTATTATAAATTATAATTAAAATATTTAATGTTTTGTTATTGTAAAAGTTAATATATATTTAAGTACATATAAATAAATAGTTGCTTATAATTTTTAATTAAATTATAATATAATAATAACATAAATAACACAAAATGTTTTTTTTTTTGAAAAAATTCATTATATATTTTTTTATTAATCACTTAAATATCTATATTTACATATTTATTTATGTTGTTTTTTTCAGTTATATTTTTGTTGTTGTTGAAATTAGATATTACAATAATAACAACAACAACAACAAAAACATCAATGATTACCTTGATAAAATCATAATTACAAATAATATTAATAATAATAATAATGATAATTTATACATTGAAATTTCTAATTGAATTATAACAACTAAAAAAAACCATATATTCAGAGTAGTAGTAAAACAATCAAAAAAAAAAACTTTTTATAAGTTTTACATACAGTATATATAAATATATATATATATATATAATATACAAATTTTTATCGTTAATTTCTAACATAAACAAAAAAAATTAATGAATTATTAATTAATTAATTACAGATATTTATCTATTATTTATTTTTTTTAATTTTTTTTTAGACAAACAAATTAGTGAAAATATATTTATATATTTTTTTAACTATATATATATTGATAATTAAATACTATACAATTTTTTAAATAATTTTTTTTTATAATAATAATAATTATTATTATTATCATCGATTGATTTGATTGTTTGTATGTTATGAGTGATGTTATTATATATCTATGTTATGCTATATATATATATATATATTTTTTTTGAACAACAAAAAAATTAATTTAATTAATTTAAATGTAGAAAAAATCACTGATGAAAACACATTAACAAAACACACATTTAATTTACTGTTTAATTATTTTGTTTGTTTTTTATCGTCCATTCATTAATAAATAATAATAATAATAATAATAACACATGTATTTTCACATAATAAGTGTAATGTATTGTATGTATGCATATATATATGAAACAATTGTTTAATTTATGAAATTAATTATTTATTTTTTTGTTGTTGATATATAAAGATCTCTATCTATCTAACTATCTATTATATATATATATATATATATATATATATATAAATCATAATATAATGGGAGGTCATGGTTGGTTAGATGGATGTGATGGAAGGGGGTGAGAGGACCGGGAGTTGGGGGGGGGGGAAGGGGTTAAGTCTCATTGTTAATGGGTTGAGGAGGCGGGCGAGATATCACAATTGAAAAGTGGCGATTTTTGTTTTGTTTTTTGTGTATCAATTAATTAAATTAATTTAAAATATAAACAAAATTCAATCAAAATCTAACTCTCTCTCTCTCTCTCTCTCTCTCCTAATAATCATTAATATTATTATTATTATATACTAATTATTATTATTATCATTATTATTAATATCATTACTATTATCATAAATATTAAATATATTATTATAAATTTTCAGAAAATTTTTTTCTCTACTAAATTGTGTCCTCATATGTGATATTAACTAACATTTTCAAAAAAAATATACGTATATATCATTTACTTAATTAATTTATATATAAATAATAATAATAATAATAATAATAAATTAGTTAAACACTCAAAAAATTCATCATCATCAAAAAATAATATTATAATAATAATAATAATAATTAAATTTAAATATAAAAAAAATCACTTGTATAAATTAATCAAAAATCTATAGCAAAAATATTCATCAATTATTTTATCATATTTTAAAAAAAAAAATTTATCTCACAATATATACACTCACTAACAAATAACTTGTTTTTTTTGCACCTAATATTTTGTGTGTGTGTGTGTGTGTGTATGTATGTATACGGTATATCATATATATATTAATTACTAAAGTATTACCTATCGATAATTAATTGTGTGATAATAATTTTGTTTGTAAATATAATTTGGTATAAATTTTATTATTGTTGTTATTTTAAATCAGTTAATTTTTTTTAAAACAATTATTTTGTTGAAAACTGATTGATTGGTAATAGTATTTGAATCTAATAATTATTTTTSTCATAGATTTATATATCGTATGTATGTATGTGTGTGTTGTACTGTACGGTAAATATTCATATTAATCAATATATATATATCAATAACTCGGGAGTAGTTAACGGGTGACAGTATGTATGTRTGTGTGTGTGTGTRTGTGCTAACTGGGATGCGATGATAAGCCATTCATTAATAAATTATTATTGATATTATTATTATTGTTCAAATTGGGAACCGTTGGTACAACCGTATGGCTAACAACAAACTCTTGATGATTATGATGATGTGGTGGTAGTGGCGGCGGTAGTAGTGGCGGCAGCGGCTGCTGCTGCTGTGATGGATGTATTGGATGACAAGCAGCCGGTGTTGGCATCAATGTTGTGGTTGTTGTTGTTGTTATTGGCATCGAATTCATCATCGGATAGATAGCTGCAAATGAATTCAATGGCTGCGCCGTCGGCGCCACCGATAATGATGGCGACGACGACGTCGACGACACGGTTGCCATGAGATGATGGCCAGACGTTGTCGTCGCCGCTGACGGCAAGCTCTTCATCATCGTTGTTGTTGCTGTTGTTGTGATCATAGGTTGTTGTTGCTGAGGATGAGGTAATAATAATGTCTGATGATATGCATCGCTGGCGTTCTTCATGATTGGCGACAGCGAATGATTGGAAGAAGCAATGGTGGCATCAATTAAACCGTTCAGTTGTTGCCTCTGTTCATTGGTTAATGTCATAAACCAATTGGAAAATGCATTCGTATCGGCCGTCTGGCCGACACCGAAATCTGTGGCCGTCATCTGCGAACCGCCATTAAAGCCGGCGGCAGCGGCTAAATTGAGTACATCCTTGTTGACCATTGCCAGCGCCTGTTCCAGGGCTTCAGTTTCCTCAGTGGACGGTATTTCTCCGTTTTGATGTTCGAGCAGAAAATCGTTGAACGCTTCGTCAGGGATTTTGTTCAGTACTTCGGTAAAGTCGGCATCGCTGGTCAATTGGGGCAAATCGGCTACAATCGACGCTACCAGTGCCTCCTCAGTCGGTTCCAATGGTGGCGGCGGCGGCATCGATTGGTGATGGTGGTGATGATGATGATGGTGGTCCATCATTACTACCGGCGAAAGCGGAACTCGTATCGGTGTCGTACCCATCGGTCCTATATCACAGCCTAAAACAGCAGTGCTCATCACTGGTTGTTGTGGATGATGATGATGTTGTTGTTGTTGTTGTTGAGGGTGATGATGATGATGAAGTTGCTGCTGCTGCTGATGATGTTGTTGCTGATGGTGATGATGATGATGTGGTAATAGTGATGGCAAACGATTAAATGATGATAAATTCGGTGTAACAGATGTCGTTACCACTGGCGACGACGACATATTCATGATAGTCGTTGACTGAGGAGTTATGGTCATCACTGGTTGTTGTTGTTGTGGTGGTGGTAGCGGCGGCTGTGGCTGTTGTTGAGCGGCCACAACCACTACCGAACTGTTACCGATAACGTGATTATTGATATCAGTGGTGATATCGGTGGCAGCGGCGGTCGTCTGAATGATGATGGGCTGCTGCTGTTGTTGTTGTTGTTGTGGTGTCAATAAATTAATTGATATATCTTGGTTGGTATCTGAATGATGTGAATGCATTGATGATGCATCCCCTGCGTCACCATCGTTGCTACCGATACTGTCCTCAATAATAACCGGCATATCATCATCTAAATCATTGGCCATCGATTGGTTGCCGCCGCCGCCGCCTTTCTTTCGTTTTTTGTTTCTCCGGCTAACCCGTGTCAGTGCCATTGGTTTAGGTTTTCGTCGTTTTTTACCCGTTTTCGAGTCCATCATCAATGGACTACTTGGTTGTTGCTGTTGTTGTTCATCAGTCGATTGAGACATCAGTTGATGATAACTGCAAACTGGATCTTCGTTAGTCATATCGAAAGTAGGATTCGAGCACTGGGTCATTGTTTGGCTACACTTTGCCGTACATCTCGAAAACAATAGCTGATCCACATTGTATAGTATATGTTGTATACAATGGCGAGTAAATGGAAGCGATGGCCGACCACAGCATCGACGGCGAGAGACACTATTACTATTACTACTACTATTACAGTCGTCGTCGTCATCGGTAGCGTAACAGCAGATACCTTTGCGTATGGATTGTTCGCTACGGCGACCTCTCACTGATAGTTTGTAATCTAAATAACTCTTATAGATAGTGGTCGATGAGGAGGAGGAGGTGGTCGATGTCGATGATGTTGTGTGGCTAACGTTCAACGACTTCAATATAGCTCGACTTCGGTTCAATTGGGGCTCAAATTCACGTTTGCGGACAGATATCAGATTCTTGAGCAACAATTTTTCGGCAATTAATTCGGTTTTCAGTTCGTTTGGTTCCAAATCTTCGATACTTGTCGTCATAAATGTACCGAAAATATTTGGAAATATTTCATTACTATCACTGGTGGTGGTTAGTAGACCCGATAATTTTTTTGACGGCTCTTTATAATGTAGTCGCTGTTGATGATGGCGACGACGATGACGATGACCACTATTATTGTGGTCATCATCATCAGCATCATCATCGACATCATCGTCATCACTATCCGACCAAATATGATGATTGAACAGCGAATCACTTGTAGGTTTCCTGCGTCTGGCAAACACATACTTATCGACAATACACGGCTTTTTGTCTTTTTTCTTTCGTTTCGGTCTACTATTACTACTACTACTAGTACTGGAAGTGCTATTATTTTTATGATTATTGTTAACCCTATTGTTATTATTATTATTATTATTATTTATCTTTGTTTTTAAGCTCTTGTTATTCATTGTCTTTAATTGTCTATTATTACTAGTAGTAGTAGTAGTAGTTTTGTTGTTCACATGACTAGAATTGGAGGTTATATTCTTCTTCTTCGTTGTTGTTGTTGTCGATGAAGTAGACGTTGTATTTGTCGTCGTCGTTGTTGTTGTTACTCCTGTTGTTGTCGCTAAACACTTATCTGATGAAACAGTTTTACAATTATTATTATCAACAACACTACCACCGATGGATGATTTGTTGCCACCGCTGCCGACAATCGCCGACGATTTCATACTACCATTCAGTTTCAGTTGCGGTTTAATAAATGCATTGAACGTAGCATTCAATTCGTCTCTAGTTGTTGTTGTTGTCGTCGTCGTCAGCGGTGGTGGTGTCGACGATAATGTTGTTGTTAGCGGTGATGATGAGGAAGTAGTGGTAGTAAAACCTAATCGTTCGGCAAACGACTGCAGAGCCGACTGGCTATCTAGTGATAGTACTGAACATCCGCCGCCGGCGCCGACATCTGATGCAGACATAACAACACCGCCGTTGACCACAAAACCATTAGTAGTAGTAGTAGTAGTAGTCTTGCCATTCATTAAGTGATGATTGTTATGATGTTGTTGTGTTGGCCGCGGCTGTTGTTGTGGTTGTTGTTGTTTACTCTTTTCTTTTCGTCTCTCTTTTTTCGGTGCCATACCAGCGATCTGCATATGAGAGTTACAAAACTCCCGGTCCTCGGTAGCCGGTATAGCATTTGAACATTTTTGTTGATTGTATTTTGCTTGATGTCGGCACTGGCGAAACGGTGCCGACGGATCTTCGAGTATATGACGGATACAGAAGGCATAGCCATTGATCCGACGTTGTTTGCACAGCTTCTGCGAGTATGAACACAACGGTTTGTTGTCCACTGGCGAGTAGTGAATGTGCGAACCCTCGAACAGTATACAACCGCCGTTGATGGCGGCCGCGGCAGCGGCTGCAGCGGTCAGTCGACGATGATTATGATTATGGCCACCATTACCGCTGCCGCCAATAGCTGCTGCCGAAGAAGTCCTGCTGCGGCAGCCATTAGTGGTCCGCGATTTGGTGGCGGCGGCGGCCGTAGTCGTGGTGGTGGTCATCATCGGCTGCACGTGTTGTTGGTGTTGTTGATGGCCATCACTATTGATGGTCACTATTGATGATAATGTGGTCTTTGTTGTTGTCTTTGTCGTTGTTGTCGTTGTTATCTTTGGCGTCGATATCATTGAATTGTTATTAATATTATTATTATTATTATTATTGATATTATTATTACTAATAATATTATTAATAAAATTGTTATTAATATTAATATTATTTATATTTATTTTTATATTATTATTATTATTATTATTATTATTATTATTATTCATAATAATGGCGGCCATTGTTTAATGCCATTTATACCATACAATATAATAACAATAATAGACACATTGAGCCAAACTATGCTTGAGTAATCATTCAGTAAATACTAGTCAAGTGCTATACAGTAAAGTATTATTACATGTATTCCATAAGTATAACCAGTATGTAATACTATGTATATTAGATGGGCCTATGCAAGCAATGTATGCTCAATAGTGTGTGCCCATAGCTCTAGCAAATGGGTAATCGAAAAAATAAAGGTAAATAAATAAATTGTACATCAATTACGTCCCATAAATTTATTTTTAATATATTAATATTATACGCATTTAATTATAATAATAATATGGATAATACATAAACAACGTCGTTATATAAAATAAAATTGATTTAAAATTTACAATGTACAATAATTTTTTCAATCATAAATAACGTATATAAATTTTTTAAAAAAAATTTTATAATAATTATTTTTAGTATTATAATAAATTTATGAATTTTTTAAAAAAATCATTTAATTGTGCTAGATTATAATTTTATTTAAATTAGATTTTTTTAATATATATATATATATAGTCTACTGTATAAAATTTATATATTATTTAAAAAAATAAATTATTTAAAAATAATTTTATTAAGTTTTTATTAAAAAAAAAAAAAATAATACAAACTTTAATAGTTATTTATAAAAACTATTTTTTAAAAAAATTATATTTCTAAATAAAATTTTTTTAATTTTTTTTTGTAAAAAATTAGTTTATATATGTATTTTTAATTTGTTTAGGCTATCCCTGAAATGTCGCCAAAAAACTTTATATATTGAATATATATATATATCAATATATATATATATATATATATATATATATATATATATCTAATCAACAAAAAAAAATGTCTAGCATTTAACAAGATTAGTTTAGTTTATTTTATATWTATATATATATATATAATAAACTTTTTAATTTATTGCACCTAGATTAACTTAGATAATAATAATTAATGAAAATTTAATTGATTATWTATATATATATTAATCCACTTAAAAGTTAGTAGTAGTAGTAATAATACAGAATCTAATGTAAAATTAATTAATTAAAACTAGACATAAATACAACCAAAAAAAATAAAAAAATAACCACAGTAATTTTTTTGTTGATTATTTAAACATGATAATATATCCCCCAAACAATTATTACAATAAATAAATAAAATTAATTATTTTTGATTAAATATTTAGTTATTTTTTTTACTTAAAAAAAATAACAAAATATTTAATCATAAAAATTAATATATATATATATATATATATATATATATATATATATATATATATATATAATAGTAACTAATATCGGGTATCAATATATATACGGTTCGGTTCCCTAAAAAAAAAAATTAATAGAAAATTTTAAACTCTATTTTTTAACATTACATTTAAATTTTATTATTATTATTACCCATGACAATCAAATAAATAAATTAAAAAAAAAATCAAACAATTTATATTCAATTAATTAAATTAAACTAAAACTAAATACTTTTTAATTAAAAAAATAAATAAATAAAAAATTTAGTCAATAAAGTTGTTTGTAATAGTTTTTTAAAACAGTAAACTATTGGCACACTTAACACAAAAAACCATTAAATTTTAGTTTTTTTTCCTAAAAAAAACTAAAATTAAAAAAAATTCTGTCTCTCAATACATATACACTAAACTTATTAATAATAAAACAGTTTATCATATGTTATATCATATAAGTGTCTATAAATATGTGTTCAAAAAAATATTATTAATGTTATTATTATTTGTTATTCAAAAGTATTATTCAAATAGTAATGAAATTCTATATTAAAAAATAAATAATAAATAAATAATTATTTAATAAAAAATATTTTCCAAAAACAATAATAATAACAATAATAACAATCAAAACAATAATAAATAATATTTTATTTTTTTGGTGTTATTATTATCAGTCAAATTGAAATTCAATTGATATTATAATTACCGAAAATAATTGATCCATTGATGAGGTATTATCACTGTATCGGTCGTACAGTTTGTGTACGACTACTCTATCAGCGATCATCGGTGGCCACAATCGGCGGCGGCARCGGCGGCGGTGGCGGCTATCGGAAAATGTCGACAACATCATCGGCTATGGCATCGGCGGCGGCCAACAGTGGTGGCGGTGATGGCRATGATGTGATACTAACCCGTACGGGCAATAATAAGGGTATAATTGCTATGAATCGGCCAAAAGCGTTGAACTCGTTAAGCTTGCCGATGGTCAAGAAAATCTATCCGCAACTGAGGACATGGGAAATGGATAATTCAATGAAACTGATTATAATGAAGGCATCGCCGGCGGCCGCAGCC